GGGAAATTTACTAAAAGATGATTGGAAAAGAGAAAGTTATAAGAAGTAGTCAAAGAAAATAAAATAAACATATCAGAGAATCAGCAATGCCAAATGTTAGTTCTTTAAAATAAATTCAGGGAATGGGACCAGCAGATGCCATAGTGGTTACATCACTGGACTTTCACATAGTTGACCCCAGACCCAGTGACTTAAAACTCACACTGGATGCATGTGCTTGTGAGCCCCAAGATCCCAAGAGAAGAATGGAGGAGCAGGGACTGTGGCATGATCATTCCCCCTGGGAGGTGAGTTCTCACTTTCTGTCTGTTATCTGTCTTTCCAGCAAGTATACGTACCCTGTGGTAAAAATCTCTCTGAAGAAACAAAAAATTCAAAGAAATCTGTCAATTTTGATAACAAATGTATATTCTTGTAATTATAACATACACACACAAACACACATAAGAATACAAATTTTACAAAGTAATAAAAATCAAAGCTTGTAAAACTAGAAACAAGATGAATAAACAGACCAGGTGAACTATTAAGAGAAACTCTTAAAAATACCTCTGGCTTTTGGTAACTTGGATCAGTGAAAGAGATGGCACTTCAGAGAAGCAAGGAAAAAAAATATTTTCCAAAGAGCATTAGCTGTGAAGACAATATTGTATCTGTGTAGCAAAAAATTATGATGTACTTTTTCTGCCCACGTTACATAATAATTTATAAAGAAACCTTTTAAGAGTTATGTAAAGCAATATTTTAAATAATTTATAAATTGGACTACATTAAAATAAAAATTCTATTCATCAAATGATACACTTAAAGGGTGTAAAAAGAAGTGACACAAGGGTGAGAAAATAATGACCAAATGTCTAATCAAACATACTTCTCTTTTTTTAATAAAAACTTTTTAAAAAACAGGATCTTGCTAGCTTATGATCCTCCTGCCTCCCAAGTGCTAACTAATTTTTAAGAATTATTTATTCAGGGACCAGCAGATAGCGTAATAGCTATGTCTCTGGACTCCCACATAGTTGACCATGGTTCGAGACCCGGAGCTGATGGCTTAAACTCATTTCGGGCGTGTGTGCATACGTGCCCAAGATCCCGAGAGGAGAATGGAGGAGAAGGGATTGTGGCATGGCCATCCAGTCTGGGGGGTGATTTCTCACTTCCTATCTCTCTGTCTCTCTCTGTCTGTCAGGTGAGCGCACACGCCCTATAGCAAAAACCTCTCCAAAAAAAAAATTTCTAATAAAAAGAATTATTTATTCAATTTTGTTTATCCCTTTTTAAAAAATTTGCTACAGTGTACACATATTCACCATAGAGAGACAAAAAGAAAGAGAAGAGAGAGAGAGAGAAAGCTACCAGGTCCAGGAAAATCGTGGTCAGACCTGTGGGAGTCCACCACCCTAACCATTATGCCACATCCTGACCCTGTAACTTAACATTTTTAATGAGGAAAAAAAAGAAATCTCCCCCCACCAAAAAGTAGACAAAGACACTTGTTCAGATACTTTAACTAGATTTCTAAATGTTCAATACATGTGTAAAACATGTTGAACATCTTTAGTAAATGGCAAAATACCAAAATCAGATAAATAAAACTAAACAGTATCAATAAACATTTGGAACTGAACTCTAAGGGGAAAAAAAGGTTGAATATCTAGTTATCTATACTTTAGGAAACTGATTCAATAAGCTCCCAGACACAAATAAAACCAGCAGAAACTCAAAGAAATATAAGAATGTAAGTACTAAGATAAGAATTCATAGCATTAGTTTAAATATTTGAAACTGAGGAAGAGGCAAGAAGTCATTAAGTGAGAAAAGAATGGGGCAGTATAGGGGAAGTGGTTCCTAGGGGTAAGCCATATTTTAGCTCTTATAGGTCCAATTTAATAAATAGTATAAAACACAACATAAGTTATATGAACATGACATTTGTGTAATATACATGTATGCAAGTTTTTTAGAAACAAATATGTAGAATATATAAGAAAAAAATTTATAGACCTGAAAAATGTGGTTACATATATGGATGTGAAGAAAAACTCACCTTTACAAAGATGACCACCTTTTCAAAATTCATCAAAATGAAGGGCTATCTCTGTCACAAATATTCCATCAAAATTCCAGTATGTTTTATTTTCATGGAAAAAGAGACCAAAAGTTCTAAAATTTATCTAGAATGTCAAATA